ATCGCCCCTGCCCTAGAAATCCACTAGCCATTTTCTAATAACTAACTGAGTGGAGCGGAATCCTTCTTAAGAAGATAATTTTGCTCAACCAATCAATAAATTCTTCACCTTCTATGAAAGCCGAATTTCCATTAATGTGCTGCTTCATCTTATTCTAAGACAAATGAATTCCTTGCACATTATTTTAAAACCCGTTTTAATGTTATCCTGCCATCTACGCCTACGTCTACATATTTCTCATTTTTCCTACGTGCCGACCAGTCTGACTCACCTTTACTTGAAACCTCGTGGTTTATACTTCAGAATCCCAAAATCCATCAAACCAGCGCATGTACCACTCTTGCAGTAAGAAGTTATTGAGCGCTGCGCGGTAAGAATTTGACAAATCGTTAGAGAACCTCTGAATATCTTGTCCGTGTCAGCGATGCAGAGGGACCAGGAGGATCGAGGAGGTAGCGCGAGTTTCAGTTATTCATGGAACGTTCTATAAGTTACAGACTGCGTTAAAATGTTAAATTATGTAGAATATTAAATTAGGAAATGGAACGTTGAATATAAATGACGATGTCTGGTCTCCGGAGCAGTTCGTATTATGCAGAATCTTACTTTGTCCTCGGACTTTGGCTGTGAAGACAGGACATTTGAAAGTTCTTTTTTCCCGATGATTGATGACTCTGATCGATTTGCTTCTATTTTCGCACGTGACTTAATATTTATTCCATCTTTTATTCTTCAGGATTTGACACTGTTAAAGCAGAAAACACCGCACATCCCTGTAAATGTTTTTGTCAGTAGCAGCTCCAGTACACCGAAATTTATGTTGGATATTGGCCATTGTACGAGGTATAATGAGTGAGATGGTCCTACTCCCTCTTTCAGGTGATTGGCTTTTAATTATACTGGCATCTTTTTATAGTTTTCATTGAACTCAAATGTTTTTCTTCTTTTGTTACTAAATACCGACAATAAAGACGCTATGTAATAGTTCTTAAAATAGCCCTGCTTCAAATTGTACCGACTCTTTCAAAATCACAATCCAGGAAATGTTAAACTCGTAAGTGGTAAGAGAATGTAACGACGTGTACATTTGGTGATTTGCAATATTCCAAATAGCATTAAAATAAAATGTGTTTGAAGAGCTAGAAGCAGATGGAAGGATAGGATGAACAGGAATCTCAGGGAAGTAAGGCATGTGCTTGGATTGAGCTGGCTGAGGTCCGTGTCCATTGCCGGATTTTGGTTCTTATCGGCATTGAACCTTTGAGTTCCCTTACCATAATGTTAATACGAAGTGTAATTAATATTAATTAATTAATTTTAAAGAAGTGGCCATTAACTGAAAAGGTTAAGGCAACTGATCCATGTAAGTAGTCGACGTTTGTGGCTTTTGTTCGCATTTAGAAAGTAAGATATCGTTTTTGTCTATGAATAATTTCTAATACTCCTAACTGTATACTTTCTTAAGGCTTGAGGCTGCTGATAACATTTACGGACAACACAAAGTCGCTGCTGTGTCATTTTGTGTAGCCCAAGTCAGAGGCAAAAGCAGGTCCGACCACATCTGTCAGTGTGAGTTATTTTTGTGTATCTTCTAGACACTCGCTTGTCTTCTCAGAGTTTCTATTCTTTAAGTGACACACAGACGAGCACTCTGAACTTCTCTCTCTTTACGCTTCAATAGACAGCCATCACAAATATTCCTAGAACACTTTTAGAGTCTTCGACGAAAACAGTGCTCACACGAATATGTGGATTTAAGAGTGCGGACTCAACAGGGCGGTGATAATTCGACGGAGGAATTATGACATGAGCGGGAAATGAAATTCAGCGTAAATTTTTATCGGAAAAGCTAGGAAAAAGAGAATAGTTTACAGACCTAGTGTGCATGAAATGATAATATTAAAATTTCCACAAGCATTATCTTGTGTCACTCAGTCATTTGTCAGTTATAAGATAATTGGATGAATGTTTCAAGGCGCCACCTTTGCAGTTGCTTGGAGAACCATTAGAAAGTTCCTGGTGAGATTCGAACCTGGTATCTCCATCTTATAAGTAAGCCGCGTTACCGCTGCTCGGCTTGTATGTCTCGGTCTGGCTTCGAACCATACATCTTTTGATTACGGGGCAAGACACAGATTTGGACTCCATGTTACTAGTTTTCTCAGTGGATCTACGCGTATGAAAGGAGGGCATTGCTTAACAGACGTAACGCGGAATTCGTAAAATCGTGTAAACTAAGTAGCTTTATGTAGCTGCTTGAGAAAACGGTAGTAGTCCGGCTTGTATAGATATTTCCCGCCGTCATGGAATCCATGGGTTCATTACAGTGTTCATAAGAGGCCCCCACGTACCCTGGCACGTGTCCAGTTGAGTTCAGTCCACACCCTCACACTTTTTCTTTGAGGACATTCCAGGGCTTTTACCCTCAGGTTGAGTGCAATCACGTATTCTTTATGTTGACGATCCAAATAAAGTTTTGTTAAAAGTACAATTATCAAGCCTCGGTCTTCCTCTGATTTCCTCAAACGCTGTCAATCTTTGTTCTTCGCTTAGGTCATATAATGTTTTGGTTAAACGGAACTCGCTGAATCGCATTTAAGGCCCCCATCAGTGCAGCTGCGTTCAAGCGTCATGCATGATTCGTTATGAATGCGTGGGGCAAAGTTGATCAGTTTATCGTTGACATATCCGATTATGTACTGAAGCGTTAGTAAATAAATAACTTACTGTCGATTTTGGTTAGTGAATCTTCACATATTAAAAATAATCTAGTCTGTGTGGAACTTCCATAGTTATTTGTTGTGTTGAGGAGGATATTTGGGCCTAGGAGAGAAGTGCATAATGACGAGCTTCAAAATCGAGAAGAATTAGATGGACAGGGCATGTAGCGCGCATGGATGGGACAAGAGGTGTGCACTGGGTATTAGTCGGGAAGCCTGAAGGGAAGAGACCGCTGGGGAGACCTAGACGTAGATGGGAGGATAATCTCAGGCGGGATCTATGGGAGATGGAAGTTGAGGGAGACTGTATTTTGTTGGCCCAGGTCAGGGTCCGTTGGAGGGCTTTTGTTAAATCGGTGATGAACCTTCGGGTTCGGTAAGCCATCTAGTTAGTTAGTTAGGATTTTACATTGGTTACTTACTTATAGACCTCGTAAGAGCACTAATCACACTCCACGTAAACATGTTAATATGCAGGTTTTATTGTAGTATTGAATGTTGTCTTCACACAAATAAATTATTTAAATATTTGATAGGAGGAATTTGGAAGGTTGAAGAGTAGTTAACCTACTGACCTACTGTCACGTCATCGTTGTTTCTATTTGTAAGTCGTTCATAGGTTGCAGCACAATATGCACGGCGCTCTGATACCTATAATAAGAATTTGAGATTTGCTGGTTCTTTAGTCTGTGGTTGTTGTTGAGGAGTTTGATCTGTAGGTCAGAGTTTAAGTTTATACTTAAATTTTGCTTGTTTGTAATTGAATGTGTAATTGTGTTTCGTTCACACTATCGACCACAAACTTTGACTGAGAAAAAATAAGCTGTTTAGGTCACATGAATTCGTTCAGGTTAGGTACTGAGACATAGTGCATCATATTTAGTTTCCTGGTAAAAATGAACACTAACAGGATTTTTTACTTTTTGCTAATTTCATACCAGTGGTAAAAATATATATATATATATATATATATATATATACACATATGTACTTTTTACCATTTTACAAGTAGCAAATTCTTTTGTTTTTCAATTTGCTTTTGATGAAAAAATACTCTCTGTTGAACATTACTACTTGTTCTCTTTCAGATCAGTATTGGAGAGATATCAACATTTGAGTTTACTGTTGATGTATTAGAATCTGCCATTACGGACCATGAACAAGAGGGAGGACAGTGAAGGCATTCTTGTGAACCCCAATAATCCTCTAGGGGAAGTTTATGTTCCTAAGTTGGTGCTGCAAGTAATGGAGGTGTGCCATAGGTCAGTATGAATTTGATTGGATTTTCTGTTTCTACAGACTCATTGCATGAGCAGGGTAGCTCAGTCAACATTTGACACCCTTGTATCTCTTCTTTATGTAGCAGTGTGTTCAAAATGGTGGGG